GGGTGCGAGTCAAGCTCATTATGACCCACGGTATTTTACATCTTGGTGACTTCCCCATACTGAGGCCAATACTGCACTTATGAGAGTCATGCAGCACACGCTGACACAGATACAAACTTGTCGTGCCTGATGTGGAGCGAGTTTTCCACCTACTGTGCTTCGAACCGAGAGTGCTAAACATTTGGAACCGTTTGGCCGAAAATGTGATGGAGTCACCATCTGTGCAGCAGTTCAAAACATTGTTAGATTTATATTTTATCACTATTCGAGTCAGAGAACGATTGCACACTTACGATAACATCTCACGTTGGTGAGTCCTACACTTAGTCAGATATTTTAACCGCTACATGAGAACAATGACGATATTCACAGCTGACAATTTTTACAACGCTTTTTTACCATATTTCGAAAGAGTTGTGCAGAATTCATTTCTACTTGCTCTATAACACAGTATTCAATAGTCTCGGGCCACATCTTTCGTAGTTCGATGAGGTACGCAGCTGTCACACCGATTTCGCTAACACGTCATCCAAGGAGAGCTTTTCACGTATATAACACAACTGCTGTTTATCATGAGTCGTGATTTCATGCACATCACACGCTACAGTTTCAAGAACGCCATGATAGGTGGTTTCAATGTTTCGGAAGTAAATTGGCTGAACCTCACAATTGGGGTGACAGTGTGTTTTGCCGCTGAGCTTGTTGATTTTGCACTGAAGTTATCTTTGCACCGGTTTGTAGGTCAGCCCATTAGGTTCATGGAAATTCAGACCCCACCCTTCTTTATCTGGTCTTCGCAAAGACTTTGTTAAAGACCTTGTTTATGTTCTCCCCCCTAGGAGCCAGTGACCACGCTTACCTGTTATTCAGCTGTGCCTTTATTAGTGATTGGAAAGGACTCACCACCGAAAATCCAACTATCTGGCGTAATAACTTTCACACAATGAGAGTTAAGGCAACAAGTTCTCACCGCGTCAATCCACCTGCTAAGGATATACAGGTAGCTTGGGATGGATTAAATCCTACAACATTGACATTTCTCTTCCTTAAATCCTTTTGTCGGTCAGAATGATGATGAGGCCAAAGCCACCATGGCTCGACTCAGTTGCGCGGTAATTGCTCAACAGACGGGATTGGTGTTGGTGCATCTAATAGTCGACCCCTCGGATGACATTCGTAGGCTCTATCGTGAATTACGTACTTTTTACAAGTGTCATATACTAACTGATCGCCTCCGTTATGAAATGGAGTTAGCTATTTCAGCCTCTACGAATCCAAAACAACTCTTCGCTTATGTTAGAAGACCCAGTAAATTAAATCTGTCCATTCGGCTGTTGCTTAAAATTGACGGCATTGACATACACACGGATCAGGATAACGTTTGTGTTCTCGTCCAACAGTAGGCTGATGCATTTGACCGAGAGGCCAATTTGCCGTTTGTTGATTTACTCCTGACGGTTCCACATGATTCACTTATAATTGTGTTCGCTATGTCTGCGACTCAGGTTCTCCTTCTTTTAAGAGAGATAAACACTAGTAAAGCTGTTGGTAGAGATACAATTCACCCTAAATCTTTGTGCGAACTGGCAGGTGAGCTTTCTGGACCCAGAACTTGTCTGTTTGAGATGTCGTTTCAGAGTTGTACTCTGCCTAATGACTGGAAGCCGCCTGTTGTCTGCCCATTCTTTAGAAGCGCTGACAAGCATTTACCTACGGAATACAGACCTGTGAGTTTGACGAACATACTGGTAAATCTGTTAGAGAAACTGGTAAGGGATGTAGTTGAGAAGTAATTGGGGACATTTGGTTTCCTCAATCCGTTGCAACATGACTTTCGTAAAGTTCATTTCTGCTTGATCCATTTAGTGATGACACGCGAACGGTGAGCGACCGCTGTTGCTCAGGGTCAGGCAGTGGAATCCCTTTTTATGCACTTTGCTAAAGCTTTTGATACCGTCCCGCATTCTTGCCTTTCATTAGAACTACACTCGTTTGAAATATTTGAGCAGGTACTTTGATGGATATCGGCTGTTTTGGAAGATCGAAAAATGTCCGTCCGCTTGGGTTCAAGCATGTCATTCCGACAGTCCATTCTCAGCGGGGCTCCACAGGCATCGGTCCTTGGTCACTGTTGTTATCTCAATATGCACATGAGTTGCCCGAAGTTTTAGCCCTACCGTCCCTCATGTTTGCCGATGACCTGAAATTCTGTTCCCCAGTGACCAACCTCGATGGTCCCCAGGATTTACAACATGGACTTGATAGACTTTGAGACTAGTCTACTCCGTGGCAAATGCCTACTAATTAAGCCAAGTGTTCAATGCTATGCCTAGTCATGTGATCCCCTCCACACGCTCTCGGCTTCGAGGGCATGAACTACCTCAGGTTTCCCAGCTGGCTGATCTAGGTGTTGTTCTTTCATCCAAATTCAAGTCCAGCGAGCACTGGAAGAAAGCTGTCGACAAAAATTTCAGGATCCTGTGGATGATCTGCAGGTCGTTCGGATTCACTATACCAGAAATCTTTAACAGACTGTTTCCGGCTTTTGTTAGCTCGTACCTAGGATGTTGCGTCCAAGTTTATCCACTGTGCTTGATTCGTGATAATAGGTTAGTGGAGCGGGTCCTTAGGATTAGTTTCAAGGACTACGGCACCTGTCATATCCCGAGATGCTTCTTAAGCCCGGAATGATTTCGTCGCACCAGCATTGTGGAACCTTGATTCTAATTTATCGTATTCTGATAGGATACATTGGCCCTGACTGATCTTGGCTTTTTTGAGCCAACCCTACTAAGGGCTCTCTGTCGTCATTCGATGAATTTGCACGAATTATCATCTGATCGGGTTTGGACCAACGTTCGGCTGTCGCGGGGACTGCTGGTGCAGGTCCTGTGGGCATTAATTGGTTGATCTTGGTGAGATTTGTGCGTGTTAGTTTGACTCTCCCAGATTGCTGATATTGCCGTTGGTAAGTAACCTGGATCAACGACCTTTTCACGAAAGAACATACACAAGTTTTTCTCATTGTTCCAGTCCTACCTGAACTTGAACTTATGGATGTGGAGCCCATTAGCTCCCGTGTCCCCTATGTATGGTGGAGTAATCTCAGTTTCTTGGTGGATTTCCATTGGTTACGTAGTGTTATGGTTTTCATCGTCATACCTACTGATGCTTGGAAATTGTACCACAATGGTTACCAAGAACTGGGCATTATCCTCCATCTGCCAAACGTTAACTTTACTTGCACAACTCACAGAAGCCGTACCATTAAGTGTGAATTACTGGAAACGGGCACCCATCTTACTACAAAGATAAAAATCTCACACGCAATTACTATGCATGTAGCGGAGATATATTGCGTATTGCCCTCCTGAAAACACAGCACTCCATGACAAGTTGCGAATCGTTGTCCAGATTGAGATTGCGCGTCTCAATCCAGTCATACAACGAGGGCGACAAAATAACCCTTCAATCTGCCGTACAGTTAACTCACTGGTCATCGTCTTTCATAGTTTCCGGTGGACTGCAGTGTTGGCGAATCAGAAAATGGTGCGCAAAGTGCTTTTCGTTTATTGCTAATTGACTGTATATCTTTGTTCAGAAGTTTGTTGTTTATATCAGCTCACTATTCCCCTGCGTCGATATGTCAAGAATTAACCTAAGATAGACGCTTTTGGGCTCAGTTATTGTTGCCTAACAACCAATCTGAACATTCGCCCGCACAGTCCTCAAATGCTATGCGGACGCAGCTACTGTGTAGTGGTGGCCAGCCACTGTCTTCTGCAATGGGGGGAACAAGCATAGCAATAGAGTATACGTTGCGCTATATGCCAGTTCGCTTGCAACTTTAGACGCTCTGACTCCGTTCCCCGTGGTTCAGTAGCATAAGCCGCTAACTAGTTGGCGTAAGCTGCTAGTGGTCACGGGTTCGATCCCCAGCAGGGACCGAGGGAATGTGTACCACCAACGAGCCCCAATAGGGTGAAACGATAGTCTGGCGCCTTTCCGGATTTGTGTTAGGTTAATCTGGCTTGTGAGCAGCTGGGATGTGTCAGTAAAAAAATAAGCTGAATAGTCAAACACTACCTGGAGGCACCCGATCTTAAGATAGTTGACGCGTAGTTACTAATATACGCGTCAACTATCTTAAGATCGGGTGCCGCCAGGTAGCGCAGCGTTTGACTGTTCAGGTTGTTCCTTTTTTACCAATATACTAATATACACCGCGTGAGCAACGAGCGTGTTCGACGTCTTGTTTACGACACAGAAAAAGTAACTGAACCGCTCAGCACCGTCATTTCACGCACCAGGCTCAGATGGTTGGGCCATGTGTTGCGCATGCCAGCCCACCGACTCCCGCGACGTGCGTTGTTTGCTCGCCGGGGGTGTGGATGGAAGAAGAGGAGGGGTGGCCAAGCGATGACTTGGTCGAAAAGAATGGTGACCCTCACTTCGAAGCTAGCCTCTGTTGGAGCGTCACGGCTGCCTGGTTGGGGTCCAAAAGACGGTGAATAGGTTTGACTGGATACATTTGTTGACATGGCAAGGAGCCGATCTCAGTGGCGTTGCTGCTGTGAGTTTCTTTATTCCTCCCCATCCCTTTTAGCCTCCCCTCCACCTACGACCTCATTTCTTAGCGTAAAACATAACAATTTTTTTGCCTAGTAGCCGGCTGGTAGCTTACCGGAACGATTCCTATCCGTTGCTGGTAGCTCAGCTGGCAAGCAACTGTTGCATTTATTTTTCCCTTTTCCTTTAATTATTGTATGTATGTATGTATTTCCTTAATGTATTGCGGCACAATAGCGGAGGTGTTTCCCACCTCTAGCTAACGTGCATAATGAATGAATGAGTTACTAATAAAAACATGTGCGTTATCTGCTTACTGGAATCAAACCTGATTACAGAAACTGTTTCAACTACCCGATAGCGTTCTATCTTTATCTTCAGGATAACCATTGCTTTGACCATTATCAGTTAACAAAGGAAAACACAAACGAAAATGCCCAATTACTAATGTTGCTAGCAGTCGTTTACAACGGAACAATCAAGAAATTAGAGCAAATTGGCAAACCAGTTAGCGAAAGCCGCTACATTCGTGTACACTCCTGGCTGGTGCGGTTTTGCACAATCGCTACCCCATGACACGACACCTGCTAAGAGTCTTTGGCCTCCAATTTGACACAGAAGTGGTCCTCCACTGTCACCCTGGCACGCATCCACACCGCCTTGTTGGTAGCCTGCGCAGAAACTGACCTGAGTTAACGTTGCATACCAAGACTTGCAAAGATTGAAGTTTATTACTGGCACCGTGGCTTGCCGGAGTACGGTGTTCGATCCGGTGTTGCGTGTCTCTCCCCAACCAGCCACAATACATTGCGTATTCTCAGCCAGCGAGTTGGCCATTGCTGCGCTACGGACAACTGGCGCTGTTCGCACGTGCCCACTTTGTAGGTTTGCAGGGGTTGCTAGCTGCAACAGTGCAATGTCGTTGACGATGCGAGTTGGATCATAGCGCGGGTAAATGTTCACCCTAGCCACGTGAAGACGTTGAACTTCAGCACCGCCACTATCCTTGTAGTATCGTCCAACATCTACGAACCACTGACCTGGGTCAGGCATTGGTTGCACACAGTGAGCGGCGGTAAGTACCAACTGGGGGCTTATCAGACTGCCACCGCAAACGTGACCACCATTTCCAGACCAACGCAACGAAACTATGAACGGCCATTCGCCTTGTGCAGCGGGTTGTCCGTTGACAACCCGTCCCCAGTCCTCCGGATCGTTTTCAATGGAACGCTTCGTCAACCTGGGCAATGGGCTCCGAGGGAAATCACGGCCTCGCAGGCAGCCTTCCTCGTCGGTCGCTCCAGGGCAGTCGTCAAAACCATCACACCTCCACTCTTTCAGAATGCATACATTCGATTTACCAGAACGTGATGGACACGGCCATTCAATAGACGGATCGCACGTAGCGTTTTGATTTCGTTGAATTACCAGCCGTTGTAACATGCCCTGTTCCACACTGGCGTAACGCAACTGGAATCCCATACGATTTTCCGAGGTATTTGCACGCAGCACCAATAGTAATCGGTTTGATTCAGTCAAAACACGGAACGAATTTGCGCCACAAAAACGTCCGATTGGACGTGCAAACACCCGATCGAGAGAAGTGACGTTTTGACCCAGAGCATCCGGATCATCCTCGAATGCAGCGAAGTAATTGTCAGAGCAATCATCGCCTTTGTCCGAGATGTTAAAGGTCACTGACTGCACCAAGATACCATTTGTAGGTGGAACGTGAATGAGCCAGAAGCAATCCATTGGACCATTGAGATAGTCGGTACCGTAACCTTTGTGAGAAATAATGTTTCCATCAGAGTTGAATAACAGTGGTCCATTACCACACTTCACCGATGGATGAGACGGTTCCTCGGAGATCGACCCTAGCGCTGCACAGGTCAACAAGAAGAAAACAGCGAATATGCGACGCACCATTACTCACGCAGTGTGTAGTACCACATTAACTACCGAAGTTGTTTTATAGTTAGCTTGAAATAAGGACACAGATTAAGGAGTTGTCAATCATTGTTGAAAAAACTGTTATGTGAATAATGTTTCGGGTCATTTGATCCATTCATGGCAAGTAATCCTATTTTCTATGGACATTCAAGCTTACCGAAGATCGCGAAGGGGATTAAACTATTACCACTCAGTAACCTTAAATTTCGCTTTACCTTAACAGTGGAAGGAAGCCTTACGTCAGTTAAGGCCATTAGTTCCAATAGTGCACCTCTGCTAACTGAAGGAATGAATCGGAATAATTCCTACCTGTCTTATGTTGAAATGCTTTCATTCCATTTATGCAGACAGCAATAAGTGTGTCTCAAAGTGATCTATTCGATGAGAATCTCTAACAAATTTTGGCAATGACTAGGGTGAACTTGACGCTCCTAACCTGGTGCTTATAACTTGCACATTGTGGTTACACCTACAAGGTGCATTATCCATTCTAACAATAATTTGTCTTGAAAGTTAACCCTCTCTTTTTAATAGCTAATGAATATCTGCTGGGTTTTCCTCTCTCCTACAAAGCTGCAATCTACAACTAGTGCCGTTCTTATTTTTGCTGCTCTAATAGAAGTGGCCGGAGCTAAAACTCCAACCCGAACTTCCTAGATAAAATTTATTGCAGCGGTGCAGAGGCGATTGTTAGCCCTAGTGTATCGACTGTGTAAATGGTCTGCAACGCACAGAACCAATTTATTCTATAGGTTATGTGGAATTAAAACACTTTCACCTAGATGACTTGACTGAATCACAGAAGGCGACAGCTTGGCACTTACAAAAACTGTACTCCCACTTCGACAATGTTTCAGACTACTCAGATAAGCACAGTTTTCAGCTGGAACCTAGCTTCTTGTAATCTTATGTACGAAGCAGTGTTGCCAACCAAACATGCTGAATAACTCAATCCACCAGATTGAGCGTCCATGTGGGTAACCGTACTACTTCTTGTGGTCCTATCACCCGAATCCGTCACTACACGTTTCCTGACAATTTTAACCCTGTTCCTTTATGGTAGACACACAGCCTTAACCACCTTATTGTAGCTAATTCTGCAGTAGGTTTCTATCCTCCTCATTATTGAACCAAAGGCTCTGGGCCGAATCCCTCAAGAAAACCTCCAAACCACCCACTGCCTTGTGGGTCAGGCTATTGAACCAAAGGCTCCGGGTGGAGTTCCTCAAGCAAACCTCCGGAGCACAACCACCACCTAGCGTGCGATTGCCCACCAATACGATCGTATGCCTGCGCGCAAAGCACTCAGCATCAGGTGCTGGAACGTGCGCATACTATTGGACCGGAACTCCAGCGAGCGCCCGGAGCGACGCACTGCACTGGTCGCGATGGGACTGGCGCGCTACTAAATCGATATTGCGGCGCTCAGTGTAACTCGGCTCGCTGAGCAAGGTAAGTTGCATGAAGCAGGTGCTGGCTACACATGCTACTGGGTGGGCAACGCCACCTCTGCACCACGTGATCATGCGGTCGGATTTGCAATATCCGTTCACCTCCATGGCCAGCTCGTGGGCGAAGCAATAGGCATCAGTGCGCGACTGATGACCGTTCGCCTACGGCTCGGAAGAGGCAACCTTGGCACTATCATAAGCACGTACAGTCCGACCATGTGTTATGCTGATGACAAGCGTGATCAATTCTACACTCAGCTCTGCTCCGTGATACGGTCTATGCCGAGGACCGACCGACTATTTCTGCTGGGTGGTTTCAATGTGCGTGTTGTGCTTGATGCATCAGTGTGGACAGATGTTATCGGTACGCATGGCATTGGTTCAGTAACTGCGAACGGTGACAGGTTGCTCTCACTGTGTGTCACTCACAGCCTGACGATCACGAACAATCGGTTTGCACTGAGTGCGAGTGATATAGTAACCTGGACGCACCCACGGTGTGGTCAAGCTCACCTGCTTGACTATGTCATCGTACGTCAGCGTGATATGCGTGAAATGCGCATGACACGTGTACTGCGTGGAGATGAGTGTGGCACTGATCACAAATTGGTTCGGACAAACTGTACATATATTTTGGTAAATCTATGTATTGCACTACCGCCATGAATCGGTTTATATTTAACATTCGCTCCGTCGGTATAGTGGAGAAACCTATTGAGCTGGAGAAGGCGATGGCTGCACGCCTGTGTGATGCGGACTGCATAGCCACAGTGGGCGACCTGTGGCACCACATTCGCGACCAGGCGAGAGCTGCTGCCGAGGAGACCATCAGGCGCGAAAACTGTAAGCGGCCTGATTGGTTTGATGAGAACGATGCGACGATTAGCGCATTGCTGTGTGAGAAGAATGCAGTATTTGCTGCATATGTAGCAGACCCTAGCGACTTAGTAAGAATAGTCAGTTTCGCAAACTTGGATGGCGACTGACCCGAGAGCACCGTCTCATTCAATATGCATGGTGGATGGAGGAGACGAAGCAGATGGAATGCTACGATGAACGTGGCCAATTCAAAGAATTCTTTTACTCCTTGAAGGCGGTGTATAGACCGAGATTGGAGCCGCTGAGGATGATGATCGATTGTAGCTCAGGCGCTACCTGCACGCAGACTGCAGGCATACTGCAGATCTTGTGGAAACACTTTGGCTGTCTCTTGAACAACTGTTCAGGGATCGACTGGCCTACATTGAACGGCCTGAAGCAGCACGATGTGAAGGCGGATCTGGCGGATACGCCGACACTGGATGAGACGCAGAGAGCACTTGCTCTGCTGCAAAACGACAAGTGTGCTGGGGCCGACGGGATCCCGCCTGAAGTATTGAAACATGGCGGACTTGCGTTGGTGACTGCGCTGCACCACTTGGTGTTACGCGTATGGATTGAGGAGGAAGTGCCTGCTGTGCTGAAAGATGCCCTTGTGCTACCACTGTGAAAGAGCAAAGGGAGCAAGCAACGTTGCACGAATTATCAGGGCATCAACTTGCTGAGTTGTGTGGGCAAGGTGATTGCTCGAATCCGCTCAACCTTCTCGTAAGTTAGGTTGTGGAACCGAACGTGGTGGAGAAGCAATGCGGATTCCGTTCGAGCCGCAACACTATAGGTATGTTGTTTGTGACTCGTCAGTCTCAGAAGAAGTGCAGAGAACGACATCAGCCGTTGGACTCGCTTTTTGTAGATTTCACCAATGCATTTGTTATGATGAACCGCGAGGTATTGTGGCTGGCGTTAGGTAACTTTGGTTGCCCACGTCTGTTTGTAAGTTTAATTGAATGTCTGCATGTTGGTATGCTAGTGAGGGTGCAGCTGAATGGAGAGACTACGGATGAGTTTGCAGTTGTCTCTAGTGTAAAGCAAGACTGTGTCTTAGCTCCTGCCGTGTTTAATATTTATCTTCATGCAGTGATGTCTTGTGCTTACGGTGTTCGTGTGGAGCACCGTATTGATGGTGGATTGTTGAACATCCGTCATTTCGGTGCGAGAACCTTAGTCTGTGAGACAACTATCCATATGTTGTTGTTTGCGGACGACTGTGCGTTGTTTGCACACAGCGCGGATGAGTTGCAGCACATGACTAGTGCTCTGGCTTCGACAGCGACCAAATTCCGGCTCACCATCAACACAAGCAAAACTGTCTGTCCCTTTATGCTTCCACCGCAATTGTAACCTGTCATAGTGCATCTAATCAGCATTGGTGATTAAGTATTAGAACCCACCTCCGGCTTCTGCTACCTTTGGAGTGCGGTGTCAGCTGACCAGCAGCTTCACAATGAGCTGCAAATCCGCGTCTCGAACGCAGCGGCTGCATTCGGGAAGCTTGAGTACCGAGTGTGGAACAGCCATCAGCTTACCGTCGGCACGAAGTTGCTGGTGTGCAAATCCATGGCGCTGTCCGTTCTTCTATACGGCTGCGATGCGTTGACGATTTACCGGCGGGATGTGCGATACCTCGAGCGTTTCCATCGGCAGTGTTTGCGACAGATTCTGCGCATCGGTTGGTGTGACAGAGTTGTGGACACGGAAGCGTTGCGTTGAATTTAATGTATGCAGTGGACTGCATACTGTTGCTGAGACACCTGAGGTGGCTCGGTCATGTGAGCCGTATGGATTCGACGAAGATACCAAAACAAGTATGGTTAGGTGAGTATTGGTCAGCTGAGTATTGGGAAGCGGCATGTGAGGATGCCGAAGATTCGTTACCAGGACATGAGCAAAGTGAGCCTCTCACCTAAGCTTGATTGCAGGCCTTGGGAAGAGCAAGCGGTTGATAAGCGTGCGTGGCGCGATCTGATCACGAAGACCGTTGCTAGGGTGCATGAGAAAGCCCTCGTGCATACAGAGAAGAAGCGGCAAGTGCGGAATCAACAAGCGCTGATGGATTGTACTCCAATGACAGCGAGCGCGTGGTGTTGTAGCACAAGCGGTTGCGAGTGCCTGAGTCTGGTTGACCTAGTTAGACATGAGCGAGGCCACTCGAGATCAGCACTGAAGCGACGACGTCTCCTGCAGAGAACGTAGGCAGAACCGGCGCAGCGTTCGTAGGTATGCTACATTCGAGTTACTTAACGCGTGCTTGCATGTGGAGTCTCTTTATTTCTGGTGGTGGTTTTGCTATCCTACCTTAATGCCTTTTTATCTCATATTAATGTTTACCTGAACTGTCTTCTATAAACTTGCACATGTCGATTAAGCTAATTGTATTTAAATTCGATAGCACTTTTGCGGTTGTGGCATTTCCTTCAAACACTTTTTCTGGCGTATTTAACCTTTCACGGATATTTTGCAAACAATTTATTTCATGCGCTCATTTGGTGAAGACTTATGTCTCCGCATCTTGATGAATTGATCGCTTTATTTTACGTGATATCGTCGCTTCAAGTGATTGACTGTTTTTTGACATCCACGGTGTGGCTGCTCTTGATGGGCATGTTGACAAGTTGCCTACCTGTCTGTTACCCACTAACTCGTCCATACTGGCTCCAGGAGACAGTTG